GGTTTAATCTGGTTTGAATTGGTTTTATTTGGTTAAGGCTGGTATAAATTTATTTAAATTGAGTTGAACTTCGTTAAATATTGTCGAATTGACTTTAATTGGATTCAACCAGGTTACGTCGTTACTGAAGTAATTAGGCATTGTTTGCTGTGAGTCTCGTGAGGCGCTGGTTGTTACGTGCCTCATAAGGCGGTGGTTTGTTACGTGCCTCATGAGGCGGTGGTTTGTTACGTGCCTCATGAGGCGCTGGGTTGTTACGTGCCTCGTGAGGCGCCGGGTTGTTTCGTGCCTCTTGAGGCTGTTAGTTATCAATTACTGCAGGGTTCATTAATCATTGTAATTATACATCAAGTCAATGAGCGCTTTTTCTTTTAGCGCCATGTTTCAGGATTGCGGACGCGGAAGCAAACCGTCTAATAACCCCCGGTTTGTTAGTGCCGTGACATTGATTTCTTTTGCCTCATGCAGTTCGAAGGCAGTCTAGCACAAGCAGAAACAGTATGGCATTGCAAGAAACAGTATGGCACTGCAAGAAACAGTTTGGCACTGCAAGAAACAGTATGGCACTGCAAGAAACAGTATGGCTCTGCAAGAAACAGTATGGCTCTGCAAGAAACAGTTTGGCACTGCAAGAAACAATTTGGCACTGCAAGAAACAGTATGGCACTGCAAGAAACAGTATGGCACTGCAAGAAACAGTTTGGCACTGCAAGAAACAGTTTGGCACTGCAAGAAACAGTTTGGCACTGCAAGAAATTGTATGGCACTGCAAGAAACAGTTTGGCACTGCAAGAAACAATTTGGCACTGCAAGAAACAGTATGGCACTGCAAGAAACAGTTTGGCACTGCAAGAAACAGTATGGCTCTGCAAGAAACAGTTTGGCACTGCAAGAAACAGCATGGTACTGCAAGAAACAGTATGGCACTGCAAGAAACAGCATGGCACTGCAAGAAACAGTTTGGCACTGCAAGAAACAGTATGGCACTGCAACAAACAGTATGGCACTGCAAACACAATGGTAGCGCGTTCCTTAACAGACGCAATGGTGGCGCGTTCCTTTAAAACAGACACAATGATAGCGCGTCCCTTTAAAACACACACAATGGTAGCGCGTCCCTCTAAAACACACACAATGGTAGCGCGTCCCTTTAAAACACACACAATGGTAGCGCGTCCCTTTAAATTGAAAGTTTTTTGTCTGTTGGTTTTGAGTTTAAAATCCGATGGCGGTTGAGGCGACTTCCTCTGGCGGCTATGGACGCCTGAGCAGCAGCAGCACACCTGCTGCTGCTGCTGCTGCTACTACTGTGCAGGATACTGGTGCTGTGGCATTATAAACGAGCTCCACCTAGAAATGTAGCAAGAAATTACCTAGAGTAAGTCACCTAGCTTGCAAATGAACGTGTCTAGCATGATCTAATGTTCTCCTCTGTAGTTTGGGGCTCATGCATAGCATGTTACGGATATGTGATCAAATGTCGTCGGTGACATGAACCGTGAGGTTCAGTTGAAGTTAACAAATTGACTGAATTAGGCCTAGACCTGAAGAATTAGGCCTGGTTAAGCATGTCACTGATTTTTGTACTTTTCGTGACTTGTTCACAGATCTAAAACGTGGCCTATAGACAAAAACATTCATCTGACGTTCCATGATTGACATCCTGACTGGACTTTTACTAGTTCCGTAAGGTGCTAGGCATTTCATGACTGAACATATACTTTTGTATAGCCTTGTCCAGTTTATTTTTGAAGACGTTCATACTCGGAGCGCCAACGATGCTATCAGGAAGGCTGTTCCACATGTCGGTGACTCGAAGCGAGAAGAAATGCTGTAACTGGGTTGAATTGTATCTCGATCACTTTTTTAGCTTATAACCCTATAGCCTTTGGGGTCGATACTTGTTTCAAATCCTAGTAATCCTTTTAGGACCTTGTATAAACCATAAGTGTATTTGTATACTTCAATGAGTTCACCACGCAGACGTCGATAACGGAGACTGGGAGGCTTCATAATCTTTATTAATCTTTCTTCATAAGGCTTGCCTTTTAATCCCTGAATTATCCTTGTTGCACGTCTTTGAACACTCACGACTAAATTTTTGTCCTTTCCATGTTTTATTGACCACACGGCGTTACTCGGCGGAATTTTTCTCGCAAATCACCAACTTGATCACTATAAAATAATAGTTACAACAAAGTCACTGTATAGTTACTACAAAGTTACTGGATAGCTACAACAAAGTCACTGAATAGTTACTACAAAGTTACCAGGTAGTTACAACAAAGTTACCGGGTAGTTACTACAAAGTTACTGGATAGTTACTACAAAGTCACTGGATAGTTACTACAAAGTTACTGGATAGTTACTACAAAGTTACTGGATAGTTACTACAAAGTTACTGGATAGTTACTACAAAGTTACTGGATAGTTNGGTGTTATGTTCTTGGAGCGTCACTATGGATCTAAAAATTTTGTAAACCGGATGGCTTAGCACCGTTTATATTCTATTATTTCTCAATGGAATAATGACCCATACATGAGTAAAATTTTCCTTGGAATTTAGACAAAAGTTTCAGTCATTTCTTTGAGTGTTTGTCACCACTGACACAATCTCCCAGGTGGGCGTGGAAACTCTGAGGGGGGGATTAATGCGCTGGATGTGGGGATTGGGGGGAGGGATGAGGCTGTCCATCCTCGCCTCCTACAACAACGAGTCCAATCCCCTGACGCTGAGCCCCCTGCCTCCGTCCCCCGCGTCCCCGGGGCAGCTGCAGGGGCGCCTCGCCCTCCTCCCCACCCACCAGGAGGCCGCGACGGGCGTCTACGGCGGCAGATATTGCCTGGCGTGCGTGCTGCAGGAGGCGATGCAGGTGCGTGCCTTCTGATAGCAGGAGGCTTAATTATGTCACTTCTGCCTGCAACCTCCAACTTCACCCAATGTCGGGTCACCAAACAGGTTCAATTAAAAATGAAATATCAACCAAATGCAATTAATAAAACGAATAGAACTTCTTTACATCTCAAGTAGTCGGTATGAGTTCTACAGCTGTAGCTGTCTCTTATACACATCTAGATGTGTATAAGAGACAGCTCCACTACCCACCACCCACTCCACCACTCACCACCCACTACATCACCCGCCACCCACTCCACCACCCGTCACCCACTCCACTACCCACCACCCACTCCACCACAGCGCCCACTGATCCCCATTCTCCAGCTGCCCACTCTCTCACTCCCACACTCACCCACTCCCCCACCTGTTTCCACTCCCCCAGTTGTTCGCGTATTTAATTCAGTTAATTTGTTTCATTTTTCATATTGTATCATCACGTGACTGTGATGATGGCTCGCCGTTATTTAAATAAAAAATACTTTAGTTAAATAAAGATTAAACCATAAATTATCCGATGCAATAGTTATTTAAACGATAAATTAGTCGCTGAATCAATTAGGTAAATTATAAATTTTTACTATATTAGTTAAACAAATTTTTTTTTTACTTTATTAGTGATGTAGACGACATATTATTCACTGAATTATCTTTTTCCAGCCAGCAAGTGCTGGTGCAAGTCAAAACGACGTTTGTGCGAGCTTTTCTTACTTGATTATTCAACTTTCATTTAATTAATTACCCTAATAATTCAACTAATTTACTAATTGATGACCTGAGCGACGTCAAGATCGCTGTTTACAGTGAAACTCGAGCGAAACGAATGCGTGACTTCCATTCGTGTGCGTGTCTTCAGGAACTGTGCGTGCAAATATAACGGCTTCTTAATTGTTCGTGACAAGTGCAAAGTTTATAGTCTGCGGAAATAGCTTTTTATTTTTAATTTAAGGCTAAGTAATAATTTTTGAAGCCGTTAGAATTTTCGAGTTTCGGTGCGAAATGGTTTTTTGAATTTTAAACATTGTTTGGGATTGATTTACCCTTACATTTTGGTTATTATAAAATCTTCTTTGTGAAGGAGATTGGTAAAGTTATTACATTAATAACTCCCTTGATAATTACTAATATTTTAATTACCTGTGCAAAATCAGAGCCGTTTTATAGCCGTTTTAAGGCAGTGGAAGCCGTTTTATAGCCGTTCTCTGACGTCTCATGAGCGTTCGTCTTGTAACGCGTTATAACGTTAACGTTGGTGTTAACGCCACCGTATTATAAAAAAATGTAACTCAGCATTCACTGCAGTGAGTGACAGAGAGCGCATTTTCTCGTCGACGAAAACGTGAAGTCGCGGACGGACAGACAGATGGACAGGCAGAAGGACAGACGGACGGACATGGCGAGCACAAAAGTGCATTTTTTCCATAAATAGGAAAATGCGCTAAAACATCTTCCACACTCGTGACGAAGATGAACATTTTTACGTGGCATATTGATGAACATTCTGTATATTTTGCCACCGTGACACATTTATGAGCGTTAATCGGTCGTGTTTCTGGTGTGATGGCCTCACCGAAAATACGCCCTAAATCGACCATGGCGGCTAGAACACGGCATAAAATTTTTAATTTTAATTTTGTACACTCAAAGAAACGAGTGAGGCTTTGTCCAAATAACGATGCACTCTTTGTGTTTTTGTGAGTCATCCTGACCAAGTCTGACTCGGTAAAATAAAGCGTATAAGTGCTACGTCCGCTCTCTGCTCATGCTTTGGGCAAGAAAGTGTGTCACAATTTGGCTAATATTACCCTTTTATTAGCGCATTTTCTCATTTATGGACAAATGCACTATTGTGCTCGCCATGTCCGTCCGTCTGTCTGTCTGTCCGTCTGTCTGTCCGTCCGTGACTTCATGTTTTCGTCGACGAGAAAATGCGCTCTCTGTCACTCACTGCAGTGAGTACTGAGTTATATTTTTTTTACTAGTGTAGGGAAGGCTGTAAGGAGGGTGGGGGAATGAAAATTTAGATTAAAATTGAGATTGACAAATTATAAGAAAATTAATTGATAATATTTATCTTGATTAGCTTTTGTTTCTGTTCATGCAGGTGGTTGCGACGCGGTTCTCAGCTGGCCTGCAGCAGGCTACGTCTGGCAGCGTCAGTGTAGGCCGCCTGCAGGTTGTCATACCTCCGGCGATGGCACAGAACTGCCACCTGAACCACCTGCCACTTGCCACCTGGCAGAGGTGGTCAAACTTTACTGGGTCAAAACTAGTGCGAACTTTAGTGGGTCAAAACTGGTGCGAACTTTAGTGGGTCAAAACTGGTGCGAACTTTAGTGGGTCAAAACTGGTGCGAACTTTAGTGGGTCAAAAGTGGTGTGAAATTTCCTACAAGGCAAAGATAGCCTCCGCAATCCGCATAGGCGTCGTGACTATTCCTCTGAAAAGTATATAATATTAAAATGCCTTTTACCGAGCATGAAGTCACACACGTTGATCGTTGGTGATTTTAATCATCCAGAGCTAGACTGGACAGATGGATCCTCTCCAAGGGATGAGAATCACCCAGCATCCTTGTTCATGGAGTCAGTAAGAGACTCCTTCTCAGTCCAACACGTTACCAAACCAACCCATTATAGGGCGATAAATATATAAGAGTCTTTCTGATAATTATAAAAGTCATTAAAGGAGTGAACAGACTCCCGATATTTGTCTTTACTAGTGATGAATCAATGTTAGATGAGCTTCGTCACGAGGCTTTATTGGGCAAAAGCAACTCTGTTTTTCAGCATTAAAGTTTTTCACTATCAAGTGCCGTACAGAAAAGATCGGAAGCGAGAGCGTTTGAATTTTGCGAAAGGCGATTACTTATGTAAAATACAGTGAAATATTTTGGTCTGTATTAAACCACAAACGTGGCCGAGTCATGGTAATTTGTCAAGAACACGGTTATGTCTGTAGTTGATGCGTGTCTACCTATATTAAATATTATTTATATTCATATATTATTATTATATTACCGTATATATCATCCTAATATTAAACTCGGCGGAGTAAAAAAAAAACGTTTTCCTCTCCCTCTGGTAATTTGTCATGAACACGGTTATGTCTGCAATTGATACGTATGTATATTAGATATTATTTATATTATATTATATGATATCCAAATATTAAGCCCAGCGGAGTCCAAAGAACGTGTCCCCCTCCCCCAGGCCCCGCCCCCGGGGAGCGCTGGGCCCCCTTCGCCTCCCGCGCGGTGGGGGTGCGGCAGGTGGGGGGCTGCGCCCGTCCCGGGGACGTCGTGACGGTCGACGCGACGTCCCTCGTCACGAAGACGGGCGACGTACGTCCTTTGGGGACGTCGCACGTCCTGCCCCTCGACGTCGGCGAGACGAGGCAGGACGAGGACCTGCTGCAGGTCGTGGGTGAGTGGGCAGACCTGCTGCAGGTCGTGGGTGAGTGGGCAGGTGGGCACGCTACCGCTGGGGGGTGTACGAGGAGCGGGGGTACCACGTCCCCCCCTCCTGCAGGGGGGGCAGCTGCCCCCTCCCCCCCGTGTCCTCCGTCCTGCAGAGAATCGCGTCTGATCAGGTGATCTTTGGGGGACCTGAATACACTCAGCGGAATGAATGTGTCTTTGTTTAAATATCAATGTATTTTTGCCGTAGGTCCAGGTGATGGAGGTCTGTGTTGATATAAATATATTTATATAAATATATATCATAATTTTTTTATAAATATTCTTATAAAAATATATAATACCGGTATAAATAAAATATATGTTGATAATATGTGCAGGTGGTGAAATTCTGTGATAGTGACACGCATGACCCTGAGGATGACACGCTCCATAACCTGGCGTGTGATGGACGCAGCGTATGGGAGGTCATCCGCCAACACGCTGACCACCGTCCATCACACCACATGGAGCCGTCCGCTCAAAATTTTATTCGTCCATTTTCCGGCCAGGACATTACCGAAAACAATGAATTTTATGTGTCAAGTGACATCAACTCCAGGAACTCTTCTCCCCTTGGCCGCCATATCGTCCAAGCAGCGCCTTCAGAGAGCGAACATGTGGCCCGTGAGAAGGGGGAACATGTGGCCAAAGAGAGGCAGGAACATGTGGCCAAAGAGAGGGAGGAACATGTGGCCCTTGAGAACGGAAAACGTGTGGCCCTTGAGGGGGAGGAACGTGTGGCCTTTGACAGGAAGGAACAGGCGGCCTTTAAAAAAGGGGAAAATGTGGCCCTTGAGAAGAAAGAACAGGTGGTCTTTGAGGAGATAAAAATGGCCCATGAGGAAGAAAAACATGTGGTTCATGAACAGTCGAAACCGTACACTTCCGAGAGCATTTTGGCTCCAGGGGTGGGCGGACAGGAAGATGTACATGCATTAAGCGTCCAGAAGGAGGGAAGAATAATGTCGAAATTTGACATAGCGAACCAGTCGGCCAGATCCCTGGATGGTCCTGTAGATCCTCCTCCAATTCCAGAAGATCGTCCTCCAGTTCCTGCCCCACGAAGGAGTAGGGCGATCGCGACTGAAGATCAGATCGTCGAAGTGGATTATCCTGAGTTGAGGATTGCATCCTCGGCGAATTGGACTGAGTCCTCAAATGAACTAAACCGAACGGTTCAGTTAAATGCACCTCTGCTGAGCGCTGATGAGTCTCCGCATAACCGCTCGACTGATGCAGCTGTCGAACAACGAACAAACACGTAAGATATTGTGCAGTACCTACTGAACACAAAACGCGAACGTCATTCCAAAATACGAGTAGCAAATATTTCATTTAATGTTTTTCGTTTTATATTATGTTTCTGGTCGACACCCGAAAATATATATTTCTGAATGTAAAAAAAAATTATCTCTAACAATTGAGCAATTTATACTTAATCAAGCCATAATAATTGATAAACATAATTTGTTTTTAAAGTAGCCTCGTAGATGTCAACTATAAAATTCCTTCGCAAAAGAATTCTCAAATGTCACTTATTCGGGCGTTTTAATTACCCTTGTATGTTCCCTCAGAACCTCCAGCGATGGGCAAAACCTCCTTCAGATTGCGGATTCCTCCCTCAGTAGAATGAGGGATCCCTCAATCCCTCCCTCTGACTCCACTCGCCCTACTGCTGAGGGCTTCAGTGGGGTACCCCTGGAACTGCTGGTGGCGCCCCCACCCGTCCTGGTGGTTGCCCTGGACCTCTCGCAGGCCGCCATTGACGAAGTAAGTTTCAGCAGGCTAGGTTTGTTTTTAAGCAGACCGGACCAGACGGTAGAAGGAGACCGGACCAGACGGTAGAAGGAGACCAGACCAGACGGTAGAAGTAGACCAGCCCAGACGGTAGAAGGAGATCAGATCAGACGGTAGAAACATACCAGACCAGACGGTAGGAGACCAGACCAGACCGGAAGATAGAAGAAGACTAGACCAGACGGTAGAAACAGACCAGACCAGACGGTAGAAGCAGACTAGACAAGACGGTAGAAGCAGACCAGACTTGAAAGTACTTATAGTTACTTGGTGAATTTGAACAAAATTTGGTAGATTTATAGGAGTTCAAAAGCTCTTTTGGGGTGTCGCACGCGCCGTATTCGGTATCTAACGACCGGCCAGTTGTTGGTGTTATGTTCTTGGAGCGTCACTATGGATCTAAAAATTTTGTAAACAGGATGGCTTAGCACCGTTTATATTCTATTATTTCTCAATGGAATAATGACCCATACATGAGTAAAATTTTCCTTGGAATTTAGACAAAGTTTCAGTCATTACTTTGAGTGTTTGTCACCACTGACACAATCTCCCAGGTGGGCGTGGAAACTCTGAGGGGGGGATTAATGCGCTGGATGTGGGGATTGGGGGGAGGGATGAGGCTGTCCATCCTCGCCTCCTACAACAACGAGTCCAATCCCCTGACGCTGAGCCCCCTGCCTCCGTCCCCCGCGTCCCCGGGGCAGCTGCAGGGGCGCCTCGCCCTCCTCCCCACCCACCAGGAGGCCGCGACGGGCGTCTACGGCGGCAGATATTGCCTGGCGTGCGTGCTGCAGGAGGCGATGCAGGTGCGTGCCTTCTGATAGCAGGTGGCTTAATTATGTCACTTCTGCCTGCAACCTCCAACTTCACCCAATGTCGGGTCACCAAACAGGTTCAATTAAAAATGAAATATCAACCAAATGCAATTAATAAAACGAATAGAACTTCTTTACATCTCAAGTAGTCGGTATGAGTTCTACAGCTGTAGTGAAGAAGCTCCGAGTGAAAGTCTCATGGACCTTCCCTGGACCTCCTAACCAGTCCTTCATTGTCCTTCAAGTGGTGTATAGTGTCATAGAGAAGGATGGTGACCGTTTCTGAGAGTGAAACTTTGGTGAAACTTTTTATAAATTCCTTGTTTGTGTCTACTCGTAATTGGTACAGTAATTTACGAACATAATGACCGTGTCATGTGTTTGTAATAACTACCCAATCAGAATTTAGATCCGCATCAGCTTCTGATTCCTCGAATCAGAAGCCGCTACGCCTCTAAATTTTCTTATGTTAATAACTCCTTGCCTGTTGTTCAGGTGGTGGTACAGGGGGGAGAGAGCGTGGATGAGGCTGTAGTGGTGGTGGCTGCATGTCGCCCCAAGGTTGGGGAGGAGGAGAAGAAGCTGGTCCAGACAGCTGGTTTTACACTCCACACCATCGCCATCTGCACAGCCGCTGTACCAGAGTTTGACCAGCTGGCTGGGCCGCGTGCCTCCTGGGTGCTGCCCCCCAGTGCTGGACCCCACGAGGGGGAAGGGAGATTCGCCCAGTCCCTGCAGGAGGCGACGACCTACAGCGCTGCGTCGCCATACCAGTCGCGTCTTGTCCAGGTCAGGGTAGAGGCGGCCTAAAAATAGAGGCGGATTTTAAAAATAGGATAAATCTCTTGTAAATTCATCATTATTTCATAAAAACGTTTTAGTAAGCAGCTCTATCAACAGTTTGAATCTTAGTCATTCATGTGTAATCAATTGAGAAACTTAAATTACACGGAAGATGTTGAGGCCTTACGAGTTGTCTACAGGTTAGAGTAATCTACACTAAATGTTATCTACATTTCTCCCATTTACCCTCTCACAAATTCATGTTCTTCAAATACATGTTCTCCAGGCGTGGCACTCTGAAAAATAAATGAGTGATATTGTTCAAATGGTGACACACTTTCTGCATGTAGCAATGAGGTATTCTTTTGTCGGGCCAAACCGTGTCAGGATAACTCGCACAAGAACTGCATCGCTATTTATAAACTGCATTATTATTTATTTTTATTATTAGGAAACTCTATCGTTATTTGGACAAAGTCCATTTATTCCTCTGAGTGTGTCGCCCTCATGCCGCGTGTCGCCCTCAGGTCCACACCCACGCCATCGTCCTGGAGAGGTCGGAGCTGCGGGCGTCGGGGGCGTACGCGCTGGCGAGCGGCCGCCTCCTGCTGGCAGGACCATCCGCAGAACGTCTGGTGGTGCTGTCGTCCACCTCCCCTGCTAAGGTGCTTGTCATCTCTATTTTTATATGTGTCCTTAGTATTTTTAGGATGTGTTTCGGACGTAGCAGTCCCAGGCCACGATGGATCGCCGTCTCTTCACTCTCATCCACCTCTGCAACTAATATAGCTATAGGCTATATTGTCTACTGCTTTGAGGCTATAGCTCTGCAGCTATAGCCTCATCCTCTGCCTTATGTTTTACCCCCTCTTCATCCACCTTTCTAAGCAAGGTCCTTAGTTCGTATCTCCAGTCTCCCAATTCTTCATCCAATGTACTTTGTCCTTGCTTTGCATCCCTTTGTTATCCACATCTCTTTCCAATTCGGTCTCCCCTCATCATTGTTGTATCCTTATCCTCACAACCTTCCCCAGCTAAGGTCCTTTCTTCCTAGTTTGTCCATCCTACCCAGAACGGCCTACTTGTACAACATATTGCTATGAATATTTACGGTATTTCTTTTCATACATTCTTACATATTCCATATTTATATATTCCTACATATATTCTCCTACCTATTGGTTTTGTGTGCACTTCATTATAGGAATTCTTGTATCTTTTTTATTATCAGGTGGTCGAGGTCCGAGACGCCGAGGGCCGGAGACTGGAGATCACACGGGACACGGGCCGACGTTTCTGGCTGGAAACAACGTCGACGGGAGAGATGACGTACACCTTTAAGTATCTCACGACGTCGTTATCGTTCCCATTACGCACCACCGAAGACGTCTACGAACGACGTACGAGTGAGCCTGGTCTCGTGGTGACGTTGTGGACGAGTAACGAGCGTCAGGACGTGCTGACGCCGTCCAGTGAACCTGTCATCGTCTTTGCTGATGTCAGCATGAACGGGTGGCCCGTGGTGGGTGCCCTCGTCACGCTGGTCGTCACCCACCTACCGTCTGGGGTGGCGGCGAACTTCTCCCTGCTGGACAGCGGCAATACGGGTTAGATATTTAGAGTACTTTGTGAAGTACTATTTTTAGAGTACTTTGTGAAGTACCTACTATTTTTTGAGTGCTTTGTGAAGTACTATTTTTAGAGTGCTTTGTGAAGTACTATTTTTTAGAGTACTTTGTGAAGTACTATTATTTAGAGGACGTACATTGTGAAGTACTGTTTTAGAGTACTTTGCGAAGTACTATATTTTTAGAGTACTTTGTGAAGTACTATTTTAGAGTGCTCTTTGAAGCACTATTTTTTAAACACTTTGTGAAGTAATGTTTAGAGTATTTTTTGAAGTGCCTTTTTTAGAGGACCTTTTAATGGACTATTTTTAGAGAACTTTTTGAAGTACTATTGTTTTATTTTGTAGAGTACTTTTTTTAGAATTCTCTTGGACATTAGAGACCTTAAATGTTCTTGATATTCATCAGGTTCGCTAAAAAATTCATTTATTCACGAATTTATTTTATTAATTATCAGAGCCTGACATGCGTGCGGGCGACGGCGTGTACACGCGCTACCTGACGTGGCGGGTGGGGGAGGGGCGGTACTCCCTGGTGGCCACCGCACGACCTGGCCCCTCCACCACCGTGGTGACCTCCACACCAGGTAACTCCCCCCCTCCCCGCCAGGTAACTCTTCGTCATCTCGAGACCCAGTTTGGCCCTGCAAAAGTGTGTATCAATGCCACTATTTGGACCAAACGATCCATCAATTTTCCTGCATGTGCGGGTTGCTCACTATCCATCCTCCCCCCCCCCCAGACGGGGGCGTACGTCACACCCCCACGGGCCCGTTCACGGGCACGAGTCCCGCACGGTCGCTGTACGTCGCCCGCGTCAGTTTCGACGACGTCGCCCAGCCGTCCCGCGTCACCGACCTCGTCGCCCACCTGGTGGGCGGTGAGCCCCACGCCTTCGTCAACCTCAGCTGGAGTGCCCCGGGGGGCGACCTGGACCAGGGCACAGGTTGGTTGTGTTGACCCACTTAGGTCATACGGTGCTATGTGAGCTTTGCACACTAAGAGATATGAGTGAGTCTTTGTCCAAATAGTCATGCAATATTTGCCCTTGTGTAATGGGTCATTCTGACCCACTTAGGTATGCTGAAGGTCTGTACGATGTCTGCTCCTTGCTTGTGCAGTGGGCAAGATAGCGTGTTTTATATTTTGGATAACATAACCCATAAATTTTTCTGGGTGTATTATTTTATATTTCTTCTATTAACGGAAAAGGTTGCGAAAATTTACTACACGGCAGTAAATTACTACCCAGATCGTTACATTTACCATGTTTGTAGTACATAAATTAAGAAAAATTTATTCGGCCTAGGTAGCTCAGCCTAGTTTCACGATACAATTGATGTTAATTTATAAATAAATTATTTGATCTAATAATTTTAAATCTGAACAAAGGTCACTAATGACCGCCATGTTGCGTGTACAGCGTCAGTGTACGAGCTGAAGATGTACACGGAGCGCGACGCCCTTCGTGAAGGGCGCTTCCACGAGTCTGGCATCGCAGTCTTCTGCGTGGAGGAAGGGGGCGGCCGCTCCCCACCGCCGCCCCCCGCCATCTATGGCACCCGCCAGCACTGTCTTGCCGCCGTGCCTTTCGCTGATCTCAAGTGGTGGGCATTTGATAGTGATGATAGTGTTGTTGTTGTTGATAGTAATGATGGTGTTGTTGGTGATGCTAGTGTACGATAAACGATAAATGGCCAAATGCATGAAAACGATAGGGAGAACAGAGGTTTTCAGCGGGACTGTACTCAGCCGTTCGACCGTCAAAGCCGCTACGTGTAATAAGGCAGCTACTTGTACCTAGGCCCCGCGACGTTTAATTAGGCCTCTAAGTGTGCTTGAACTGTTACCTTGCACTTAGATCGCGATATGCACTTAGACGCTCCGTGTACTTAGGCCGTTACGTGTCCTTAAGCCGTTATGTGTACTTAGGCAGTTACGTGTACCTAGACCGTTACGTGTACTTAGGCCGTTACGTGTACTTATAGGCCGTTACGTGTCCTTAAGCCGTTACGTGTCCTTGGGCCGTAGCGTGTACTTAGGCCGTTACGTGTACTTAGGCCGTTTCGTGTCCTTAAGCCGTTACGTGACCTTAGGCCGTTACGTGTCCTTAGGCCGTTACGTGTCCTTAGGCCGTTACGTGTACTTAGGCCGTTACGTGTACTTATCATTATTAAAAATTTTTCACAAGTTCCATGTCCTGCGCAGGCACTTTGCGCTGCGGGGTCGGGACGCGGCCAACAACACGGGTCGGGTCTCCAACATCGCGTCCATCGTGGTCCCTCGCCCCGCCGCTACCACCACCACCACCACCTCTGCCACCGCCGTCCCGACGCTGGCGTCGCTCGAGGAGCCGTTGAGTAACGTGAGCGCCGTGGGTGGCGGGTGGCGGCCGTACGTGGTGGCAGCAGCGGCGGTGGCAGGATTGCTGATGGTGGTCGCCGCCACCGTGGCATGCGTGTGCTGCTGCAGGAAAGCCAAAATGCAGAAGGAGAAAGACCCTGACCGGCCCGTCTATAAAATTTACGTCAATAACGCCTACATCCAGGAGGATGATGGCGAGATTAAAGTGGTGAGTTGTGAATCGGATTGTCAGGGTAAGAGTAAAGAATAAAATAAAATTTAAGTTTTCAGTGTTCTGACATAATTTCAGCAACAATTGGTATAAATCCAGATCAAAAATTTATTTTAAATAATGAAATCTATTTCTAAGCCCTCACAAATTACCATTTCTCAGGTCCAGGAATGGGTGAACTCCTTGGACAAATACGGCAATCCGGAGCCTGGGGACGGATTGCCTGAAGGAGCGGAGCTGAAGAACAAGGCCTCCTTCAAGTATACAAGTCCTGTGCGCTTCGGGGTCTTGACCAACGGGTCCATCATGCGGGATGCCACGACAGGGTCTAACTCGTCGGGCTCGTCCCGCCCTTCTGACGTGCAGACCCACGATGACTACAAGTACAGGGACCTGTCGGAGACGACGAGCGATTCTACCACTGACGGACTCCCTCCGTCGTCGGCTTCGTCAGCAGCGACCGACGTGATACCTGCCGGGGACGTGTCGCCTACTCCACCCCATGATGCCGCTTATCCGTCCTCAGCAGACCCGTCGTCCTTCAGGGACACCAACATCTCGTCCCTGCCGCTGCCGTCCCCATGCAAGGCCGTCAAATCCACATCGTTGCGTGCCCCGTCTCCGGAGGCGCCCCAGAACTACACAAGCGAAGACGAAGGAGGTTTCAGACCTCGCGGTTCCCCACCACCCTTCCGCCGGCAGCTGGGTCCTCAGTTCTGCTCATTCCGCTACCTTCCTCCTCCTCCCCAGTACAGGAATGGAGAGCTAGGTGCATGCATCCCTCAGCAGCAGTTCCCTTCGCAAACGTTCCCTCAACAGCAGCAGCTATTTTCCCCTCAGCAGCAGCAGTTTTCCCTTCAGCAGCAACAGTATTCCCCTCAGCAGCCCTCACCCCCTGCGAGGGGGATGTCTCGTGTCAACGGGTCGCTGTCTCACGGCACAGTCAGGAGTGTCAAGAAGAGACGACATATCTCATTTGTTTAGATTTATTGCGTTTTTATGTGTTGGTGCTAAAAGAAATTTTTAGGTTTAATATTAGAATAATTAGAACGCATTTTACAAGTTCCATTAGTCTGACGAACTTTCATTTAAATACTTCATACTTGTTAGTTTACGCTGCGAAACCTTTGGACTGCAAACATTTTAATCTACCGACTGATTTCTCTATTACTATCGTTACCATTTATACTCATAGACCAACTATAGTTGTTCAACAGGCCAGAAAACTTTTAAGGCATTTTTGTACATTAATGTAAAAATTAGTATAAATTAGATTTAGATAATTCTTCATGCTTAGTAGCAGTCACTATTTTTGCCAAAGAATCTCGTGATGCGTAAAACCCCTTTACTTATTCCAATTCGTAAGTCGAATCTCAGCAAACGTCGAAAATGCGACATAATCACGACTTTTAAATAGAACCTTCCTGAAGAAAAAAATCGGACAAATTGGCGGGATTATACACTTAGAAAAATTAATGGGTCATATGGACACTCCCAAAGCGCGAGTAAAGTGCGAACGTGGCAGTGATTCTCACTTTGACCAAGAAATACCATGTCAGGATGACCCACACAAGGACTAAAAGTTCATCGCTATCTAGATTAAATTTCATTAATTTTCTTGAGTGTCTGATTATTTTCCTCATTCAGATATAATGTGAGCGGTCAGTTTTTATGTCATCGCTATATAATAGAATCGCTTACAATTTTTCAACCCTAGTTTTACTCTCAACCTCAGCTGCCCATGGACGCTTTATGTGATCCGTGGAGGCCAATCACTTTCATTAGTTGATTTTATGCGATCACGTGATAAATTGACGCTGTTGAATGGTCTCATTGTTATGTAAATAGTTAACAATGTCTTCATAGAATAGTCATATGCTTGTAGATTATCATCCTAATTTGATAAGAATACTAATGTAATAATAATAATTTGATGATATTTATCATCGTAATCAGTGTACCGGAAGCCCCAAGGTTACACGCTTTTTGTCGCCGATGTAAATAAGTAAATGAATAATTTGAGTACACCTGATGATGGTGCAGCAGACCATCCCCTGATGATGGTGCAGCAGACCACCATGAGTCATTATATATGACGAACCATTTTCAAGTTAATCTTTGGTAGGATAAATTTTAAGGATAAATGAGGATAACAACGTGTACGCAGGATATATTCTTTCAATGATCATTCCAAGTTACTAAGTTACGACTTACCAAGTTGTAACGTCATCACACAACACGACAATATTTCCTACAATAATAGCCGGGTAACAATATCCATACAATAATATTCCTTTCAACGGGTAGCGATATTCGCTGCTAAAACCAAGTCCCCTACAATATAAAACAATCCAGTTTAGTGCAATTGGTTCTGAGACATTCTCTACTGCATAAAATAACAAGGTGATTAAGTCTAATGACCTCTTAACTACTCAGTAATTGATCTACGTTTCGCATATAATAGACGCTTTAATCAGATGAAAGTTTTTGGAAACTACAAATTGTTTTAAACAGAAAAATCAATTCACATTAAGTTGTGCCTGATGACCCCTGGAGAGTCGAGATGGACCAAATGCGTCTAAGATGCTTATACACGGGGCCACTGTAGTGGCGGGCAGTAAACTTTCAAATACTGGCGGCCACTATTTACCGTGCCTCGTGTGTAGGCGCTACTGGCCACGGAAGGACCCAGTAACTCTACACGAGTACCACCTAAAATTAGTGGCGGTCAGCATATGAAAGTTGTACTAGCCGCCACTAATATGGCCTCGTGTAAGACATCTTTTGAAACGAGCTGAGCAAGTGAATGGAAAGTTTACGTCACTTCATTATTCAAGGAAACTACAATTTAAGTTAATTGCAGCTTTGTAGCATACTTGGACAGAGGGGGCGGAGCAAGAGCTCAAGGTTGCCAGAGGAGAGAGGATATCGTAAAGGAAAGGTTGCCAGAGAAAAGAAGAGTGGGCAGCGGAGAGAAGATGTATTGGAAAGGTTGCCAGAGGAGAGAAGTTCGGAGCTAGAGGTTGCCACAGGAAAGAGCATTCCATAGGGAAAGGGTTGCCATAAGATAAAGATTGCCACGAAAGAAGGGTTGCCAGAGGAATGATGGAGTCAGTGATACAAGTGGCAGCAGGGAGACGGTAATTAGGTAGAGAATGAGAGAGCTTATGTGGTGTTCTGATAAAAAGTTCCTGGTCCGTTATTTCAAGTGACTTAATAGATACACTAACGCTAAATCTATACTAACAATAGACTTATTATCAAGAAATAAATTTACGCTCTCACTATTTTGGAATAAATCTTCGAACAGCCAGATCGAACGTCAACAAAGTAAAAAAAACTACACCAACAACAATATGAAAAAAGTTGCAAGCTGTTGTAGAAGTCGAAGCATGGCATCACCAACTTGCTTTTGCTCCTCTCTAGAACAACTTAGCTACCCAGTCACAAAAAAAATCCTAAGAAAATAATATATTTGCAGAAAATACACAACTTTCTAAAAAATATATTTTTTTTCTATTAAAAATAGAGTGCAGTTAACTTCTAAGTTTCTCACGCACGCGTGTCTTGCCATGCGCGAGATTAAACAATGTAACATTTACATCTTCAATACTTGACATGTTAAAAACGAGACCAAATGCTTCATGAAAGAGTTCGAAGAAACTTGAGACTTCTCATAATATAGCCATTACCTCTCATAATATAACCATAGCCTCTGATATACTGTCTCAGTGAACAGACCGATAACCTTCTTCAGACCGATTCTTTGCGAAAGCACCGACACCACCGGCACAACCACTAGCACAACCACCAACACCACCAGCAGCATCACCAGTAATAGTGGAGCCACCAGCGATCGCAGGACCAACAGTATCAGACAAACCTCTAATAAATGCACCAAGAAATACAACACCAGTATCAGCAACTCTTGTATTAGTAGCCGAAGCAGTTTTGCCAACAGCGCGGTACACCACCAGTTTTGCCTATAGTGTCGTATACCACTAGAGTAGCCAATAGTGTTGTCCACTACTAGTGTAGCCAATAGTGTTGTCCACTACTAGTGTAGCCAATAGTGTGGTCCACAACTAGTGTTGACAACAGTGTGGTCCACCACTAGTGTTGCCAACAGTCTGGTCCACCAGTAGTGTTGCCAATAGTAGTGGTCCACCACTAGTGTTGCCAAAAGTGTGGTCCACAACTAGTGTAGCCAATAGTGTGGTCCACAACTAGTGTAGCCAACAGTCTGGTCCACCACTAGTGTTGCCAATAGTGTTGTCCGACTCTAATTTTGTCAGCTTAGGAGTAATGTTCAGGCATGACGTAGGAGATGTCATCCCAAGGGTGGCGGTAGAGTCCTTGCTTCAGGCGCTTCTGATCCAAGTAGTGACCTGAACAACAACAGTTCTTGGTTGGAGATCATAGACGTCTCAAACATGCTATTATCATTATCCATATAGGTATCATTAGATACCTTTATCACCACAAGCTACAATCATCCAGCTCTAGTTGGGTTTGTTTCAACGGTACCAGCAAGCGGCAATGGAACATTCAGAAGTATCAACATCATCGCAAAATGAATGCTATACAGTCAACATATACGCACGTGGTAATGGAGTGGTCGAAAGTATCAACATGACCGCGACATGAATGCAACATACGCTTACCTATGAAGCCGATGGAGCGACCTAACACGAAGAGGCCGTTGATGGTGCCGATGTTGATGTACTCCTCAGCCTCCTCCCTGCTCAGCAAATTCATTTTTAGACATTTCAACCGGAGCAAATATTTTTTTTCACGCGGATCCAAAAATCAATATACTCAATGTTTTTCATTGAAAGTCAGAAAACTGTAGGGGTTGATGTCAAAAATATTTTTCACGTAATATTTCACGCTTTAAGAGCACATAATCGTATGAATAACTAGCAAGTCTAACGATTCAGAACTACTGACCGGGTGAAGGCCCCGGAGTTCCTGAGGAGGTCGACGAAGGCGACGCCGATGACGCCATCCACGTTCAGGATGAGGTTCGGCTTCTTCGAAGTTGTGATTTTTTCAACCTGGGAGTGGTTAAAATAATTGAATTTGGTTGAATCATCGGCGCAACTTTTTCATGGCAGAGCAGGAACCTAAATGTGGCTCAACCGGATGGCATAAAAAAGCAAGATCAACTTTTCGCTACCAGGCGTCAAACTTGCCGTTACCAACACCCAAAGGGCAGCGATAACGCAACCTAACCTCTGGTCCAGCAGCTGGACCAGAGGTTAGTTTAGGACGGCTGCTGGACTAAAAACGAATAATAAATTTCAAACAAGTATTTAGTGCTAATTATAATAATAATAATAAAGTAGCCCCACCTTGAGAGCGTAATCCAGCAGAGGGGTCGCGGGGAACTCTTTCTGGACGAACTTCTTGATGATCTCGACGCGCTTGTCAGGATTGTTCAGCTGCGGAAACAATGGCAGAATTTGTACACCATAAATAATTAGAAACTTGTCATCATATCCTCAGCAGAACCTTGCTAGTACCTTCTCATGAACTCATCAGAACCAAGTCTTAAATTTATGATTTAAAGCTCCATCTAACAATACAAGAACCTCATCCAACATCATCATGGCCCCACCAGAACGCTGGCCTGATGCCCATGAAGCTGACCTGATGCCCCCCTTCCCACAAATGCTGGGCAAGACTCACCGACTTGACGCGGTGCCCGATGCCCATGATTAGCCCTCCTCCCCTTCCCCTAAATGCTGGGCATGACTTACGGACTTGACGCGGTGCCCGATGCCCATGATGAGCTGCCCCTTCTTGCGCATTTCGTTAACGAAGTCGTGGGGCTCGAGGTTGCGGTCGCTGGCGTCACTGAACTGCTTCGCCGCCCCGTCCAGCGCCCCCCCGAACCTGTCGCCCTGCGGAGGTATGGGTACAATATTGGTGTATTGTCGCCCCGTGGCTGTTTACATTCACTACAGCATGGATTACCCTCACAATACGCTGCCTTAAAAAGATCACACATTATCCTTACAATAAGCTACCCTTACATTTGTTGTTGTTGTGGTTCCCCGGTCTCATTTTTACAAGAGACCCCCCCCCTTACAGTAGACTGCCATCGCAATAGGTTATCCTCAAAATAATTTATTATCAATATAAGCTATTCTCATTTCTCAAAATAAATTACCCTCACAATAGGCTTACATCTAAATACTCTACTCTCACAACGCTCCATCCTAATATTAGTCTACCCCCACAACAGGCTACCCTCACAACAGGCTACCCCCACAACAGGCTACCCTCACAACAGGCTACCCTCACAACAAGCTACCCTCACAACAGGCTACCCTCACAACAGGCTACCCTCACAATACTGACTATGGTGAGGAGCCCCGAGACGAGGGACGAGACGAGGTCCTTGCCGGCGCGGGTGCAGACGATGGTGTTGTGGGCCCCCGACACGGCGGGACCGTGGTCGGCGGTGACCATAAGACACATTTCCAGGAACTCGGTGGCGTAGGGGGGCAACCGCCGCTGGAACCACAGCAGCGACAGCGTCCCGCCCACACCCAGACCTGTGGGGCCGGCATATGTTAATACATTGAATATAATATATTTCAGAGCACGTGATTGTATTCTTTTATTTGTTCCGTAAGCCCGGCGAAGTAATATACAGGATCAATATATACAGCGCGTATCCGCAATATGCAGGAGCAATAGCAAACTACATCGCGTATCGTATTCTCCCTCAATCTACAGGATTTATTCTCACAATGGGATCAACCATTACTTACTTCTCGATAATATACACCGCGTACCCGCAATAATCGCATCATGAGCTGTGGCGGCCGTTACTGATCCGACAGCGATCGGCCGTCTTTGTTTGTTTGGCCATCTTGCCATGTCAATTCATCTTGGTTAGGTGGCTGGAGCGGGCATGTCACCAGCCTCTGTTTTCGTCTCGGTTTTTTCTTGCAACTCACGTAGCTTGCTTGACGCAAACTACGTCGACGTTAGTTTACTTTTTGACTGGAAGGACTATGTTGTGAGTATTCGTTCCGGCGTTTACTATATTCAGCTACGAGCTGACAGTAGGTGTGCGTCACTGTTTTATGAGACAAGCTGAATCTGGCTGCTGTTCATGGCGCAGTTAGCTTACTCGGCGAAGCGTCTGCTCGGCCTGCGGTCAGCTGCTGCAGCCCGTGATCCATCCGTCTGTGAGAGAGCAGATTTACTCGTCGTCACGTTCCCCACGCCTCGCATGTCTTATCGTGGATGCCGTGCCGGCCGAAATAGGCGTCCTGCTGCCACCTACCGAGCAGTGCACGACAACGGTGTGTTCGGTCATTAAAATAGGCCGTTGCTCTGGCGGGAATCATTTGTGTCGTGCTCGTTCGACTGCGTGCGCTAAGAATTCGCTTGCGTCATAGCTGACGATGTCATCGCTGCAGTGCGCGCGCGGCCTAAAAGCAGTGTGCCAGCGATCCGCTGCAAGCGTCCATACTTGGGGAATGTTGTAAACCTAGCACCATTTTCTGGTCGAACTTTTCAAATCAGAGAACTTCAAACCAGCTCACACGCCTCTATTAAAAAAACAGATCTTGACGCTTCCGATATGAAATCTTGTCGATCCATCTCCGACCTGCCGATTTTGTCGAAACTCCTGGCTGGAACGCGTTGTGGCGCGACAGCTGAATGACCGGACAGCAGTCCGGTCTCAAGCCTCACCTCCATTATGAATACCGTCATCTCCAATCGACGGCAACCGCTGTGCTGAAGGTGCTGTCGGATATTCTGTGCGCAGTAGACCGAGGCGACATTGCATCAATGGTTTTACTCTACCTGTCGGCCGTGTTTGACACGGTCGAGCACGATACTTTATTGCGTCGAATTGATTCATCATTAGGCCGGCGCGGCACAGTGCTGCTGTGGTTTGAGTCCTATCTCAGAAAAAGATTCCAATGCGTTCGACTCTTCTTCTACGCCATCGTTGGTTACTTGCGGCGTACCACAGGGCGTTCTAGGCCTTCACTTGCGGCGTTCCAAGATTCACTCACGGCGTTCTAGGCCCGATCCTCTTCCTGTTATATACTGTTAACGTATTGCACATACTTGGTTCACATAGTTCGAATCCGCATGTTCACCGGCGATACCCAAATTTGTGGCTACTGTGCGCCGGCCCACGCTGCTGCGTTGCAGGACCACGGATGTCTGTCTGCATGGACGCCGTCTCAGACTGGATGCACTCCAACCAGCTCCAACTCAATGCATTAAAAAAAGACTTTATTTGGTTTGCGACTGCTAGGCGCCAGCATCAGCTTCCGGCCCACCCTGTTCGCATGGGAAATGAGTTCGTCATGCCTGCGTCTTCGGGTTGCAAGCTCGGCATTCGTTAGACTCGGCATATGTTCACCGACGACACCCAAATTTATTGCTACTGTGCGCCGGCCCACGCTGCTGCGTTGCAGGACCACGGATGTCTGTCTGCATGGACGCCGTCTCAGACTGAATGCGCTCCAACCAGCTCCAACTCAATGCATTAAAAAAAGACTTTATTTGGTTTGCGACTGCTAGGCGCCAGCATCAGCTTCCGGCCCACCCTGTTCGCATGGGAAATGAGTTCGTCATGCCTGCGTCTTCGGGTTGCAAGCTCGGCATTCGTTAGACTCGGCACTTTCTATGAACAATCACATCGTCAAAGTCACCACCGCTTGTTTTAGCGCTCTGCGACGAATTCGTAGCCGCTGTCTATCAAGGGCGGTACTTGAGACCCTCGTGGTGGCGCTCGTTCTGACTAGATTGGACTATGGTAATGTCACACTGGACTATGATGATGCCATTAACTGAAATCTGTAATGAATGTTGCTACGTGACTCGTGTGCAATAAGCGAAAATTCGACCATGTAGCGCCGATATTGCGCGATCTTCACTGGCTACGCCTGCAGCAGCGCCCGCACTTCAAGGTCGCTGTTCCGATAGCTTCACGGTCTGGCGCTTCTTTGTCTCACGGAATGTCTGCAGCGCGTATCGGATCTGCCTTCTAGAAGAAGACTGCGCTCGTCGTCAACAGCGGACCTCGTCGTACTATCTACACGTCTATCTACCGTCGGCGACAGAGCGTTCCTGGTCGCCGCCGCCAGAACCTGGAACGCTATGCCAGCTTACGTAATATCGACTACTTTATTGCTGGTGTTTCGTCGACGCCTAAAGACAGAACTATTTCATACAGCCTATGAATAAAGTGCTTATATAGTCGTTTTTATCCGTACTCATCCTTTCTCATGTCTTTTTGTTTTTCGCTTGCTAATAAACTTATGTGTGACGTGCCTTCGAAGTTCGTTTGGTCTAGACGCCACGATAACTGCTTCGTAGAATAATAATAATATACAGGGCAATATACAACGCATATCTGCAATATACAACGCGTAATCGCAATACCTACGGTACCGTGTGGAGACATTACCTCCCCGTGTTGGGGAGGAGGGGAGTAAAAAAATTTTCTTCTCACACTCACGAGCAGGGCTTGAATCCCATCATAACCTTGACCACCCACCCTGCTTCAGCGTCGATGGGATTGGCATGCGTACAGCAACTGCTGGCCCATCCCTCTCACCCACTTACCCACCCCTGACCCACCTTGCTCGAGCACAGCAGAGATGGGCATGCCGGCGTAGAGCAGCTCCTGACCGCGCTCGTCGCTGATGCTCGTCATGAACGACGCCGGCTTCCTGATGAGCCCAAGCTCCTGTAGGAGGAGGTCATAGTCTAGTCATGGGTTTATTATAATTAATATTTAGCGCCGTGTAATTTACGTGGCAATATTTCATAGCTGTTTACCTATGCCATAATACAAAGCTTCATACAGTGTAAACTTTACACGAGGTTCTAGAAGAGGTTCTCAAGTTATCTAGAAATGCAACAAAAGTGCAAGACGAGAACTGCGAGTGTAAAACCTGGAGCATCTGTGCAGGGCTACAAGGGCACGCCCGCCCACTGTGTCCTAGATGCCCACTGATGAACCCACCCGGACCCAGCTGGACCCACTCACCCGAACCCAGCTGGACCCACTCACCCGAACCCAGTCTCCCACTTCCCTGACACCTTTCTCCTCTCTACCCCTGGTCTTGTCCCTCACCCACTCAGACCCCCAGCTGAACCCACTCCTCCGGACCCAGCAGAACAACTCCTCCAGGCCCAGTCCCCCACTCCCCAGGCCCATTCCTCCTCACCCTCTGGTCCCGTCCCCACCCACCCAGGCCCACTCCCCCACTCACCCTAGCCCAGCTAAAGTCCATAGGGACGGTGGGGGGCGGCACCTCCTGACGGGGCACTACTACACCCGTCCTCAAGAGCTCGTCGTACACCCTCTGGATGACGTCCCCCAGCTCATCAAAACTGGGGGGCACCCGCGCCCCCGCGGCCGCCAGCGCCGCGTTCTTGGCCACCGCCGTCTCACGGTCGGCGTTGGCGCAGGCGCCGGCGTGGCCGAACTGCACCTCCGACGAGAACATTCCTGCGGGGGGTGGGGGGTCATTGGGGGAGTGGGGTTATTGGGGACTGGGGTCATTGAAGGAGTGGGGTCATAGGGGAGTGATGAGTTTATTGGAGGGATGGGGCAATGGGGGTGAGGGATGAATGAATTTACATTTCTCAGCACGGAAAGTAGAGACATATGAGCTACCAATCCCCCACCACGTAGTGACAAGTACCGATGCACCACCACGCACCAGCACAAGTACCGATGCACCACCATGTACCAGCACAATTACCAATGCACTCTACGAACCAGCACAATTACCAATGCACCACCACGTACCAGCACAAGTACCAATGCACCACCACGTACCAGCACACGTACCAANCAACGTCTGGAGGGAATGTGGGTCAACGTCTGGAGGAAATGTGGGTCAACGTCTGGAGGGATTGTGAGTCAACGTCCGCAGGGAATGTGGGTCAACGTCTGGAGGGAATGTAGGTCAACGTCTGGAGGTAATGTGGGTCAACGTCTGCAGGGAATGTGGGTCAACGTATAGCGGTAGATGGAAGAACGAGAGTTAGCAAGAGGTTGGGGACTGTCAATAGAAAGATAATATCAACAGGAGTAAAGAGTGGGATGGGGGGAGAGGAAGGGAGAAGGGTATGTAAGTGGTAGGGGATAGAGTGGCTAGTGACAGGAGGAGGTAATTGACTAGTGGATTGTAAGTAGCCCTCGTCATGCGCAAAAGCCCATGATGCCTGAACGCACATGAAGCTCGGGTTCGATCCCCGATATGCTAGGATAATTTGAAGGCGGAGCATCAGCGTGGCGGTGGACGTTCAGACTCAATTTTAAGATTGGAGATCCGTGGCAAAAAAATAAATAACAGAAAGTTTATAGTAAAATATGTTGTTTTACATCCCAACCTCAGGGTTGTCGTGGTAGCGGGTGAGGTGGTCCATGAAGGTAGACCCAGGGTACCGGTCGCCCCCGATGGCGACGCCTTCGTAGACGCCGTCGGTGTGTTGGCTGATGATGTTGTTGAGCTCGTTAGACATGCCACCGCTCCGGGACACGTACGCCACACTGCAAGACATGGCTCTTATACACATCTAGATGTGTATAAGAGACAGGGCTATGCGTGTCGANCAGACCACCCACCTGCCCGGCCTGTAGAGCTTCGAGTGCAGGATGTTGTCCATCTCAGACCACCCACCTGCCCGGCCTGTAGAGCTTCGAGTGCAGGATGTTGTCCATCTCAGACCACCCACCTGCCCGGCCTGTAGAGCTTCGAGTGCAGGATGTTGTCCATCTCAGACCACCCACCTGCCCGGCCTGTAGAGCTTCGAGTGCAGGATGTTGTCCATCTCAGACCACCCACCTGCCCGGCCTGTAGAGCTTCGAGTGCAGGATGTTGTCCATCTCAGACCACCCACCTGCCCGGCCTGTAGAGCTTCGAGTGCAGGATGTTGTCCATCTCAGACCACCCACCTGCCCGGCCTGTAGAGCTTCGAGTGCAGGATGTTGTCCATCTCAGACCACCCACCTGCCCGGCCTGTAGAGCTTCGAGTGCAGGATGTTGTCCATCTCAGACCACCCACCTGCCCGGCCTGTAGAGCTTCGAGTGCAGGATGTTGTCCATCTCAGACCACCCACCTGCCCGGCCTGTAGAGCTTCGAGTGCAGGATGTTGTCCATCTCAGACCACCCACCTGCCCGGCCTGTAGAGCTTCGAGTGCAGGATGTTGTCCATCTCAGACCACCCACCTGCCCGGCCTGTAGAGCTTCGAGTGCAGGATGTTGTCCATCATGCCCCCCGTGTTGCCGATCTTAAAGCAGCCCGGCTTGACGCCCCCCACCGTCGCAGGTCCGATGATGGTCACTCCGGCAGCAGCAGCGCGCTTGTTCAACACCCGCGTCATGTTCTCGGGGATACCTTCGGCGATGATGGCGATGGTTCTGATCTGGGGGTCAGGACGAAATGATGAGATGATATCATCGCAGGACATAGTAAATAAAACTATTCTTAGTTAGTCTAAGCGAGCCAAACTTGGACATATCCAACATGTCATTATAAGTGAATCTGTAGCAAGTTAGTGGGACGTCGATGAGCCCTAATTTGGTATGGCCTAGTACCTGGGGTTACTGAAAGACACCTGAGGGTACAGCAGGGTACCTGTCTACCTGAGAGTCCTGCAGGAAACCTGAGAGTACCGCAGGGTACCTGAGAGTACTGCAGGGTACCTGAGAGTACTGCATGGTGCCTGAGAGTACTGCAGGGTACCTGAGGGTACTGGAGGGTACATGGGAATACAGGAGTGTACCTGAGGGTACTGCAGGGTACCTGAGGATACTGGAGGGTCTCGAGGGTGGCGTCGTAGGCAGAACGCAATGACGCGAAGTTAATGAGAACGTCAGCCTCAGGATGCTTCTTCATGGCGTCAGACATGTGCTTGTACACTGCGGGGAGGGGGAGAGAGGGGATCAGTGGGGGAGAGNCTTCGAGTGCAGGATGTTGTCCATCTCAGACCACCCACCTGCCCGGCCTGTAGAGCTTCGAGTGCAGGATGTTGTCCATCTCAGACCACCCACCTGCCCGGCCTGTAGAGCTTCGAGTGCAGGATGTTGTCCATCTCAGACCACCCACCTGCCCGGCCTGTAGAGCTTCGAGTGCAGGATGTTGTCCATCTCAGACCACCCACCTGCCCGGCCTGTAGAGCTTCGAGTGCAGGATGTTGTCCATCTCAGACCACCCACCTGCCCGGCCTGTAGAGCTTCGAGTGCAGGATGTTGTCCATCTCAGACCACCCACCTGCCCGGCCTGTAGAGCTTCGAGTGCAGGATGTTGTCCATCTCAGACCACCCACCTGCCCGGCCTGTAGAGCTTCGAGTGCAGGATGTTGTCCATCTCAGACCACCCACCTGCCCGGCCTGTAGAGCTTCGAGTGCAGGATGTTGTCCATCATGCCCCCCGTGTTGCCGATCTTAAAGCAGCCCGGCTTGACGCCCCCCACCGTCGCAGGTCCGATGATGGTCACTCCGGCAGCAGCAGCGCGCTTGTTCAACACCCGCGTCATGTTCTCGGGGATACCTTCGGCGATGATGGCGATGGTTCTGATCTAGGGGTCAGGACGAAATAATGAGACGATATCATCGCGAGGCATAGTAAACAAACTATTCTTATTTAGTTTAATCGAGCCAAACTTGGACATACGTATCCAACATGTCCAAGTGAATATTTAGCAACTTAGTGGGACATCGATGAGCCCTAGTTTGGTATGGCGAGTACCTGGGGTTACTGAAAGACACCTGAGGATACAGGAGGATACCTGAGAGTACTACAGGGTACCTGAGAATACAAGAGGGTACCTGAGGATACAGGAGGGTACCTGAGGGTACTGGAGGGTCTCGAGGGTAGCGTCGTAGGCAGAACGCAGCGACGCGAAGTTAATGAGAACGTCAGCCTCGGGATGCTTCTTCATGGCGTCAGACATGTGCTTGTACACTGCGGGAGGGGGAGAGGGGATCAGTGATGAAAAAAACGGCATTAGTTGAGAAATTAGATCAGCGAAGGAGAAATTAGATCAGCATAGGTGAAATTAGATCACTGGAGGAGAAATTAGATCAGTGGAGGAGAAATTAGATCAGTGGAGGAAAAATTAGATCAGTGAAAGAGAAATTAGATCAGCGGAGGAAAAATTAGATCAGCAAGAAGAGATTATATCAGTGAAAAAGAAATTAGATCAGCGTAGGAGGAATTAGAGCAGTAGCAAAATTAGATCAATGAAGGAGAAAGGGGATGGGCTAAGGATGAGAGTAACAGCAAAGAGAAAAAATTACGTCATCGACGTGGGGGAAATGTAAAAGCAGCGAAGAGGGAAGATATATGTGATGTAGAGAATGAGGTACGAGGTATAGTATAATGTATCTACAGCGATGAGCAAGTGATAAACATTGGGCAGAAGCTTTACAGCGACACACCAGCCACTTTATTCCATTACCATCCCCATCACCAGGCACAAGTAAAAGTGCCACCTACCCTTCACCAGGCTTTATTTGGTACCACACCCATAGCTTCAACTAGCCCTATGAATGGTTTCACTTACAGCCTACCTAGACTCAGCATAGGACCTGCTTTCACCTGGCACCACTACCCTCACCTGGCACAACTACCCTCACCTGGCACCACTACCCTCACCTGGTACCACTACCCTCACCTGGTACCACTACCCTCACCTGGTACCACTACCCTCACCTGGTACCACTACCCTCACCTGGTACCACTACCCTCACCTGG